AACTCTCCTATTACATTTTAAGTATTATTTGATTTCCACAGCAATTCTCTATATACAACCCTTCATAACCATCCCTACTGCACAGAGCAGAGTTGGTGCTAAGGATCCTTTCCACCACTGCCTGTCTCCCCAGAGATCTTGGCTCTGTTGGCTTTCAAATATCATCTGCTTTAGTCTTACTTTTACATGATGGACATGGTGGGAGGTGGAGGGGACTCATTGTAAAACGCCAAGGTTCCAAGGCAAAGCAAGGTTCCGATACAATGGACAGAGCAGTGGGCTGAAACTCAGAAGGCCTAGAGTTCTTGCCAGTTATGGGATCTGAGGCAAACTACAGCCTCCTTAATACCCAGATTTTCAGTTTACAAAAGAAAGATAATAGTGCCTGCCTGCACATGCTTCTGAGGGTTCATATAAAAATTATCTTTAAATATAAGGTGCTATGCTAATATACCCTTTTTTCCAAGCAAGTCTAATGCCACGACCCTAAGAGAACACTACATCAATCTAACTTTTTCTCTGTTAGCAACTGTTTCTCACAGAATTCGTTAAAAGTTCTGAAAATTCCTCCTAATCATTATCCTTTTCATTTTATCTCACTCTACTTGTTATTCTTCCCTTAGTTCAAAGTCTCCCAACACCTTCTCTGCAAAATAAGATCAAACCCTCTGCACAGCACCTCGAAACAATCACCTATCTGTCTCTCCCTGACAAGGTGAATAAGATGAGAAAGCAAAGCTTGTGATATTCTTACCACTAAAGAAATACGTTCTTTGGAAGAGCCAGCTCAAATTTCCTCTCTGTATTCCAAATCTGCCTATACCTGTGCTTTAAGCAACCGGTCCTCTCTGCTACACTCCTGCCATTTGCTCATCTTTGTGCCTTTCAACCACTCCTGTCTGTGTTGCTCTGTTTTGGTTTCTTTTGGTGGTTTATAATAACCTCTCATTGTCTGAGTATCTAACTTCGTTCCTTCACTAGAACTTACATAATATTTAGAGTTCTAAAGATCTCATCTGAAATATAAGGGTCATTAGTTATGTCTAATGTGTTTTTTTTCCTTCTTTTTAAGTGTTTTATTGAACTGATCTGTCTTTTTAGACTGTGGACCTGTCGTAAAGTTTGGCCAGTCTTGGCTATATATGACGTCACAGTACAGCTACAGTCAAGGCTGTACACCAGGGATCTCCCCTGGATGTTCCAAAGTTGTCTCACTGTCTTTCTGCCAGAACCTCTTCCTCATCTGGTGTTCATTACCCTCATTAGTGGCATCTCCATCCACCCAGGTAAGCAATTCCAAAACCTCAGAATTATTTTCAACCTTATTTCCCATATGCAGCTAGTCATTAAATCCTGCCTTCCCTATATTCTGAATATCTCTCAAACTTACACTAGTTTACACCCTTATCCTATTTCATTTGGACTATAGCAACATCATCCTCACTTTCTTCTGGCCTCCTTGGCTTTCCCCTCTCTAGTTCCTCTGAAATACTATTGCTGGAGCTATTTTCTAAAGGAAATCCAATCATAGCACTCCTCTGCTTAAAAATTCAGCTTAAAAACTCTTAAAGACTATCTAGGCTGTGATAAAGCCTGAAAAACATGACATTCAAGGACCTTCCTTCTCTGGCCCCAACCTCACAAGACCTCTTTACTACAGACGCACCCAACCCGTCTCCCCCTGGGAGTGCCACGCTCAGACTGCCTCCATTTCTTTGCCCATGTAGTTCTCTGTGCTTAGAACAAACACCCTTCTCCCTCCTCTTGGCTTTCGGCCTTCGAAATCCAGTTCAAAATTCACCTGCTCTGTGAAGTCTTCCTAAATTCTGACCATACCTCTCTCCTGGGAGAATGAGTGGCCACTACTTCCACATCACCCTGTGCTGCAATTATTTGTGGATGCGTCACTTTCCTACGTAAACTCGGTATCTCATTCATCTTTACCTGGCACACAGTACGCACTCATTAAATGTTTACTGAAATTAATATGCGCTGAGTAAAAGAATAACTAAAGAAAAATTCCATAGATCTAGAAGCACACCAGTCCTCCTTCTTAGCTGCATTAAAGAAACAGGGCCCAGGGATAAAGAAAAGGACTAATAATCTGATGTAGCAAACACATGAATGGGTTGTTTGTTTTTAAAACCTAAGTGGCTTAGGGAGGGCAGGGGGAGAAGAAAGTATATTTTAAAGCTCTAGCTCCAGGGCAAGTAATAAAAATTGTTGCTTTAATGTTTTTTTTCATAATATTGTGAGCAATGGGAAGGTCTATTCCATCACACCGGCCTTCAGGGCAGAAAGTTTCAGCCTCCTGAGCTAAGTCAAACTGGCACTGGCTCTCTGTTTTTCGAGCAGCCGCAATTGGCCTCTGCCTTCTATGAGACTAAATTTGACTGACAAAGAAGAAACAAAATCATTTCCCAGTTACTTTATGGGCCCCTCTTTTCCGCTTTTGCACTTGTCAATTAATTATAAGCGTGCTGGAAATTCGTCTCACATTTCTGCCCCTACATTACACTGAGGTAGGCATTGTACTCTGTCTGCATTAGGAGTTGTCATTAGGTTGGGAGGCAGCAACTAGCCCAAGAAACAACACTGTTTAGTACTCAGAGTTTGAAGCCCTTAGATGCCACTCACCCACATAGCTTTTGATGTCATCCTTTTTATACTCCCTGGATTGTTAAATCTGAACACGTTTAAAATTAGGATGCATGTGCATCTAGGTCAAAATATCAGAGTCTAGAGTACCAATGGAACTCAATAATTTTCAAAATGATAAAACAAACAATTCTCTATAGTTCAGTCTTAATCATTCCACCCCTGAGCTCCCATTCTAAATTTACTTACCCACAATGCCCAAGAGTTTAATATACTACCTGGAACACACACAGAGACCACATTTGACAACATTACAAGGCTTTCCTAGCAGGGATTGTCTATATTTCTGGCAGAAATCCTGCCTCCATCTACCTGTGTTTTGAATGCCTGACTTTCCCATTTCCCAAGCACTGTTTCCATTTAGGAAGGTTGAATAGGGATTACAACTGTACCTAGCACTTAGGTTTACAGCGAGGAATAAATGGGGCAATACAAGTAAAAAGGTTGAATATAACAGTGCTTGGTGAGTGGTCAGTGCCCCATAAACATCACCTCTGTTACATTCCATGCCGGAACCCCATGTGACCCCATAATTGGATCTTTGAGAAAAGAATCAGAGAAAGTTGGTCTTTTTCACCAAGCACCATGTTTGACTTCACTTCTCCCAATAGACTTGAAAGAACTGAAGTAGGTAACATTAATTTTACTTTACTTAACATGTTTGGGACTTTGTGTTTGTGAAATGTAGCATGCAAGAAATATTCCAATACGTACGTAAAATGACTTTTTAAGTGCCTTTTAAAAATCTCTAAGGTCCTTCCGTTTCCAAAATGTTGTGATCTATGATAACTAATCTCAAATCCAGGCAAATTAATAGTGATATAACTCCCTAGATATACTGAAAATATATGGCATTGTCAGGCTGGTTGTATTGGAAACAAGTTAGACCCAGGACCAGGAACCTGGGGCAATGCGCAAAACAATCTTGCCCTTCTTTCTCCCCTCCAGCCCAGAGTCTATAATTCTCATCTCAAGCTCCCAGGTCCTTTTGTAGCAGATGTGGAGAGGATGAGGAATGAGTTGGAATTTGCAGAGAAAACAGTGGAGCCAAAATTCTACAGAATCCCAAGAGGAGCAGCTGAAGTGAGCAGGCTTCATGAAATCACCTGCAATTTCACCTTTTAACCGATAAAAGAGAATCCTAGAAGTCTAACTCAAGAAGGGGCCCTACCTAACCCCCTGCATCTTGGAGATTAAGAAACTGAGACCTAAAGAGATCAAGTAACACATCTAAAGTCATCCAGCTTTTCTGAAACCTGGGTCTGGAAACCTAGAAGTGATGCAGTGACCAATCGAATTAAAGCAGTCTCAACCTATGTCACTTCCGAAGTGTCTGCACACCGATAAATGTCTCTTTTTTCCTCTCTGAACTATATTCAGCCTTCTACAGTCACCCACAAACCAGCCAGCACTTGTCTCAGGAAGACAGACAAGATCCTCCACAATCCTGAATTCAAAGAGACATCTGGTTTTACAAACAAGTTACTAAAAGCAGTGTCATGTGGTACTACCTTCAGATTCATCCTTATCTTTCAGAAATACATTAAATAATATTATAGTGACAATGATTCTCCAAAGTAGAAAACAAAACTCAAGAAAAAAAAAAAGCCTAGGCATACTTTGCTTTAAGTAATGCATATAGGAAAATCTACTTAGAGTGGAAATATGAGGGGGTGCTTCTGGTGATTATTTTCTTTTGAAACAGCATAGAATAGAACTTTTAAGTAGCCACAGTCAGAATGACTCCATTTACAAGAGTGCCACATTCACACAGCTTTTGGGAAACTACCAGAAGATAAGAGTTGTAAGCCCGTGTCTCCACTGCCTCCTTGTCGTGTGTATTTATATCCATTCATGTATTCCTTCATTCAGCTCTACTTCATGTGTACTCATTCATTAATTCACCAGTTCTCCCTCATAGAAACTCACTCATTCATTCAATTGCTCACTTGAGTACTACCGAGTACCTGAGAAGTCCGACAGGGGCTTTGCCCTCGTGTAACTTAAGAGCCTACGTGGAGCCTAGACGTACACACCAAAAATGAAAGTACAAGATAAAAGGCGAAAAGAACCACAAAGGAGACCCGATAAAGCAACCTGGAGGCTCAGGGGAACTAGGTGCTGGTTCCAGATGCGGGCGAGGGAAGCTCCTGGGCGGCTTGGGGCGGGGCACCTCCCCTCCCCGAGACAAGAGAGAAAAGGAGACATCACGCCTGGCTCACTGCTCTCTGTGCACAGCATCTCCCTCTATCCCGGCGGCCGCACGCGCCCCCCCCCCCCCCATTGCTTGGCCCTTGTCGCGGAAGCCGCACGCCCTGCCCGTCTCCCGGTGGCCTCCCTACCCTGTCCGTCAGTCGCTCCCACGAATGGGTGACTTGGGAAGTCCACACCGGTGCCGGCAACGCCTAGGCCCGCCCGCCGGGAGGAGCCGGGCCCAGCAGCCCGTGGGCAAGGCCCGGCCCGCGGCGCACGAACCTGGTCGACCGTTCGGCCTGCGGCGGCGGCGGGCGGAGGCGGCGCCCAGGGTCACGCTGCAGGGTATCTGCGGTTCTGCCCGCTGCGCACTGAGCGGGAAGGCGGGGCGCAGCGGCCCGGGACGCTGGGCGCGGGCGGGAGGGCCCGGCGGGGCGCCGCCCCCACCACGCCCGCAGGCCTCGCTGCGCCTCGGGAGACCTGAGGGCGGCGGGCCGACCAGCTGGTGCCTCACCTTCTGGCTCTGGCTCCCGTTAGAAAATCAGTGTCCCACCCTGGGTCCTGGGCCCCGCGGCCTTGCTTCTTTATTTAGGGGCCAAAGCGCCCGAGCGTCGTCCTCCGGCCCTCGCGGGTCTCTGGCCGGCGGAGGTTTCAAGAGCTGTAACCTCCGGTGGGCCGAAGGGCTTGGCCGAGGTGTCCTATGCTTTCATGAGTGGCCGTGCAGGTAGGGAAGGAAGGGGTTGTGGAGCTGAAAGGAAAGCGTGAAAGGTGTTTTTCTGTCTCTGCGCCTGCATAAGGGCGTCTGGAAACCCCATGCTTTGTAAGCGTGGATAGGACACGCGGTTATTAAACCGTTATTGTCCCATCCTGCCGGGCAGGATTGTTAAGAGAGGTGGTGATGATGGAAGGTGGACAAGAGGACCCGAACTGGGAGATCAGAAAGAGTCCTGTCTCTTTGGTTTATGCGTTAATTATATGAGGGTGCCCAAGAAGAAAGGAGACTCACCTGATTACCCGGCGTAGCTTATCTCAACGAGTCACTCGCATCGCTGGTCACAAAGCGTGCGCTCACGTAGTTTCAATGTTTTCTGTTTTGATAAATTTGAATTCCTTTGTTTAACCACACTTTTCTCAAATACAAACAGTTATCTTTGTGAAACACGGAGCAATTCAGGTCTCCTCTTTAACCAGGGAAAAAAAAAAACAAAAACCTTTTAATTAAAAGAAAAAACACGTGCTCACTGGGAACTTAAAAAAGTACAAAATTTGTAATGTCCATTTACCTGCATACACTTGACCCCCAGTTAACAATCTCTCTAAACTTTAGTAACCCCGTTGCCCACCGAATAAAGTGTGAACTCAGACATTCAAAGTAGTTCCTCACAATGTGACCCTGGCCCACCTTTCCAGGATCATCTCTATGGTGCTATAACCAGCTCCATTGAATTACTTTTTTCTCAAACTACCTGAGGTAAAGGACAAGTTTTATTATTTCCGATAAGTTATGGACTGTCATTCTTGTAATATAAATTAAAAACTTGCTAGAAAAGTGAAAAAAGACAAAAAACTACAAGCCCCAATTTTCATTACAGGTATATAACAGGCATACAAAAATAAAATTACTGTCAATTTATTTTTGTGTTCTTTTAATTTCTAAGTGTTTACTCTCAATTTCTATATTTATCTCATCCCAGGCCAGTAAAAACAGTTCATAGATTCACACTGATGACCATACTTAAAAGTGCCTTTTGACTTTGGGGCCTTTTATTCCTTCAGTGCCAATCAAAGTTCTTCTCACTCAAGGTTCAATTCGTAACGTTATAATAACAATAACGGCTTCACATTTATTGGGTACTTTATGCCAAGACTTTACATGCATTAACTGTGAATTCTTATCAACTCTATGAGTTAGGTATTATTATTATTCCCACTTTACAGATCAAGAAACTGAGGATTAGGGAAGTCAAATCACAAAGCTAGTGAGGTGCAGAGTTAGCACTCTGACCTGAGCAGGCCTATACCGTCCACCTTGAGGTGAGCCCTCCTCCATAAAGCCTCTGCATTTGCTTTGGAGTTGAAATGAATCACCCCTTGGTCCCTCTACTACATTTTCCCCCCACTGGTTTGTGTTTATTGTTTTTGGGGGGTTTTTTGGCCACACCACGCGGCTTGTGGGATCTTAGTTCCCCGACCAGGGATTGAACCTGGCTCCCGCAGTGAAAGCCTAACCACTGGACCGCCAGGGAATTCCCCTCCACCCCCGCACCCTTGTCTTTTATTGATGTCTGGCGTTAAGCTTTAAGATCCTGAGTCACTGTCATTTGTGTATCTCCACACCTTTCAGTGCTGCTTTCTCCAACTGGAATTTCCTTTATGCTTTATAAACGGTCTGGCAGAGTAGGTATTATTTGATCACCATTTAACCCATGAGGAAACTGAGGCACAGAGAAGTCACTAATAAGATGCTAGTAAGTCGCGGAGTCAGCCTTCCAAGCCAGGCAACCAGGCTCCAGAGTTGATTTCTGAACCACCACGCTATGCTGATTTTCCACTGCACCATGAGGTCTTCCTGATCAAAACACTTCACTGACTTTCCATGACTCTTAGGATAAAGACGAAACTCTTTGGTGGGACCTACAAAACTCTGTGTGGCGTCCACTCTGCAGCTGCCTCTCCCAGCAAGCTTCCTGGTTCCTGTCTGCCATGCTTGTCTTATTTCCCTTGCCCCTGGGGGTCATGCTTCCTCCAACCATAGCACATGTTTTTCCCTGAACCTGGAATGTCCCCTCATCTGGTTCCTACCTAAACCTAAACTTATCCTTCCTCCAATTTTAGCTCAGGAAATCCTTCCTAGACTAGGTCAAATATCCTATTAAAGAGTTTTAAAGCGTTTTTAGGTCTTAACATAATTATCATTTTAAATGTAGTTTATGTGGATATTTGACTACGGTCAGTCTCACACATTCAACACTGTCAGCTCCATGATGGCAAGGATTATCTTATTTTCCCACCTTTATATCCTCAGCGACAAGAACAATATCTGACATATAGTAGGCAGTGGGTAAACATTCACTGAATGAATGAAGTAAATGGTGTTCCAAGTGTTATGAAAATATAGGAGGCGCACAGCGTTGTTCCAGTAAATGTTTATTGATCAGTTAAAAAAAAAAATCCTGGTTTGTACCATTTGTCAATTTCCCTGATGCGAATACTCCCATGATGGCCAGTTTCGAGATGCCAACACTACGTCCCACAATGCTGAAACCGGGACGTGATGCGAACAATCGGCTGTGAGAGCCTGTTCCAGTTGGCTCCAGCACACCCCTGGAAGGGCACCAAAGTTAGTGGGACAGAGAGTGGCTCACAAAGCCCAGGCAAGCTGCCCAGAGATCTAAACTAAGACCTCAAGTATGAATAGAAGACAGGTTTGGGAGGTGGATGTGTATGTGGGACAAATAATTGGCAAAGTGGGGGGGACTGGAGAAGAAAAAGGAGAACAGTGTAAATTTATAACTATTGCGAGTTTTTTCAAGTATTTTTTTTTAAATGGACTGTGGTGAGTAGCCAATCACTGTGAAATTTAAATGCCTTTGGGTACATTTAGAAGAGTGATATAACAGTTTTATTTTGAAATGCCAATATTCGCAATGCTGGAGATTGTATTCTTTGTAACTACTATACTTACAATGAAAACTATAGAAGTAATTTTTTTTAATGTGCCAAGGAATACAGTAGCAAAAACATTTGAAGACCATGGGTTTACATGACCTAGAAGTTAAAGTCTGGCTCTGCCATTTGTTAGCTGTTAGCCATGGACAAGTTGTTTAACTTTTCTAAGCGTTAATTATTTTATCTATAAAATGGGAAATAATAAACCTTCTTTGTGAATTAGATTGAATAAATTTTATAAAAATTCCTAGCAAGCCTGGCACTCCAGCCTGGTACTCAATAAATGGTACACAATGGTACTCAATGTTAACAATAGCTAATATTTCTTAATCACTTACTATATGCTAAGCACTGAGCTAATGCAATTTAATTTTCATATGACTCTCTGAGGTAGGTTTCTATGAATCATAGGTGAAGAAACTGAGGCACAAAACAGTGTCATTTTGTTTTTTAAGTACTTTACAAAACAGTTGCTTAATGGTAGAGTCATCATTCAAAATCAAGTAGTTTGACTCTAGAGTCTTCCCTGGAAACCACTAGACCTTACTTTTCTTCCCTAGAGGCTCCTCTTGCCCATCCAGGAACCTGGGTTACCATCAGGATTTAAGAATAATTCTCATTTATAAGTGGAACTTTTCAGTGTGCTAGGGGTCTCTTACTATTTTTTCTCATTACTGACTTTCCAACCCTTTGTACATTACTTCACACAGAGAAAATGATATCTGCAGGAAACAATGGATTGAAGGATTGAGGTATCTCACTGTAGGAGTGACCAGCCCAGTAATCTCATTCTCTTCAATCCTGGCTTGACCACCCTTGAAGGTTGAGTAGAACCCATGCCTCCCTACACACGTAATTCATTCCCAGCATGCAGTGTGCCAAGGCACACAGATTGGGCAGCTCTAGTATAGGTACTACTGAAGAGAGGTCTATACCTTCTTTTCCCCTTGACATGGGCTTGCAGGAATAACTGTTGGGTCCTTATTTTGGTGGGTCCTGATCAACTTGGCATGATGGAAAAATGTTTTTTTTCAAAGTTGGCACTATCAGAATATTGCAATTAGGGAAGATATAATCAAATGCTATCTGTCAGCTAGAAAAAGTCAATGTTGTTTTGATTCTTCAAAGAATGCAATAAGAAGCATTGCTTATTCTCTTTCATCACTCACTCCTAACTACTCTCCCAGGTATATGAAAAAAGAAGTCTACCTAAATATGAATGGCTGAAACTTATACCAAGACACTTACCTTGTCTACTGAGAATCCAATGGCAAAAAAAAAAAAAAAAAAAAAAATCATGTCATTGTAATTAAAAACAGTACAGGATCAATGGATTTTGATCATATTTCTCTGTTTCTATGCAATCATTTTTAAATAAGACTACATTAAATAGTATAAAGAGTCTGCTGGTAATTATGAATGCTAAATACCTGTATAACTCAATGACTTTTCAAAGTGAACACACCTGTATAATCAACACAACGATCAAGAAACAATATTACCAGTAGCACCAAAACCCCCTTCTTGCCCTTTCCAGTTACCACCCACACCCACAAGGATACCCCCTGACTTCTAACATCATAGATTAGATTATTTTTGAATTTTATGTAAATGGAATCATACAGTTTATATTATTTTCTGACTCCTTTT